TTTAGAGTTTAGGGTTTAGGGTGGAGCTCTTGAGTTTATGGGGTTCTTTGAGGGTTAGGGTTTATAGGGCTTAATTATGAGGTTTGGGTTTAGGGTTGGAGCTTTTGGGTGTATGGGTTCTTTAGGGTTTCGGGATTAAGGGTTAAGGGTTTAGAGGCTTAGGGGTTTATGGGGTTAGGGTGCAGGAAGGCTGTTGGTTCTTTAGGCTTTAGGGCTTTCTCGGGGTTTAGGGTTTGGGGTAGAGACTGTAGTGGTGAGATGGAGGCTCAGGAAGTGTGTGTATAGAAGGGCCAACAAGAAATTCGGAAAGGGCATGTGGGACCAGGTAGGTCTTTATTCAACTAAAGACCTTAGCCCAGAGCCTGCAGGTGGACCTCAAACTCTAAACCCTAAACCCCTAAACCGAAAACCCCCAAAAAACAAGATTTTGAACCCGAACCCAAACAGCGGATCCAAACTCCCGAAGTGAAGCCCTAAACCTCAAACCTGTGACTGACCCCACATAATGGAGTGTAGTATAGTAATAGTATGGTACAGCATACTGATAGAAGTAGTCTCGCATACTGCTATAATTAGTATAGTATAGTATATTATAGTATAGCATAGGATAGTACAATATAATATAGTATAGCATAGTATAGTATGGTATAGTATAGTATAGTTTAAGAGGATCCGAACCCCGCCGATGCCGGGAAAGCCTTTGGCAGCTTCCACTAGCTGCTCCGGCGCAGGCTCGGAGGCGTAGGTGATCCTGCGAGCGGGCTTCTGTGCTTATGACATGGGAATAGTCCTTAAATTGAGGGTTCTTGTATGTTACATGGACTTTGTCAAATTGTACAGGCTTAAAGGCTTCAAGGCTTTAGGGCTTTCGAGCATTAGAAATAGTGCTTGACGGGCCTTACTTAAAGGATCACGGGACTTAGTAACTAGGGTTATAATTTAGGTCACTATACTTATAGCCCCAGTTAAGGTACTTACAACCTTGCTTACTAAGTCCCATGATCCTCCAACTAGGCTAGCAAGTACAGGGATTTCGGAGGGCCTGGCATGCGAAAGCCTGACAGAAGATAGCACCTACAGCAAACAGAAGCATGATCCGCTCCTGCCAAACCCTAAACCCTAAAACCCAAACATTACTTAAAGGATCATGGGACTTAGTAGCTAGGGTTGTAAATAAGCTAACTATACCATAAATTTGCTTGTTACCCCAATTAAGGTAGATGTGAGTATGGTCTATTTCGGGCTGGTTTCTTGTCCTTTCCTCACTGCGGTTACGAGTGTGAAAATCCTCTACCAGGATGAGCCTGTACATGGTTTGGAGTTTAGGGTATTCCAGGCGATCACCAAGTTTGATATTCGTAGCAGCAGTCGAGACACCAGCACAAGCATCCACGGTAAGTGCCGAAACGACAAGAAGAATCGCAACAGCAACAATGGCAACCCTAGGTTCATACTGTGACGTAACTAGAGGAAGACTTGTAGCTCACTGCGAACTGTTCTACATGGACAGCAGCTTTGGGGCAAATCGTTGCAAACGTTTACTACCACCGGCAAGAATGAACATATGGCAAACAGACACATGAAATAATCTGCCGGTGGCATAAGCTGCATGCTCAAATAAGTCACACTAAGCCAGAAAAACCTTCAGAGCCCTGCAAGAAGCTACAGAGTACGTCTCCACTAGCAAACGCCAGCACTGCATGGTCCCAGTCTGAAAGCATCCAGAAAATGCAAGCCGCAAACCTGCGCAGATCAGACTCAATTTCACCTGTTCCCCGGTGCGAACACTGGAACCCTAAACCCTAAAACCCTAAAGCCCGAAGACCTGAACCCTACCAACATATGCGACCCTCAACCCAGGCGCACGAATTTGATGACACCCTGTTTCCCAACACCCTGTCTTCTTCGGGCCGTTCCAATAGCCGCAAAGGGCAAACAGCGCAAAGGCACCCAGCTCTTTCTGCGCGAAGTGCGGGAAGACCGATGTAAAGAACCTCTCGATGCTTGGTCTTTAGATGGGTACATGGATCGATAGACAAGAAGGCCTCTTCCCAAAGCCAAGGGGCATGAAGCGGACTTCTCGATCAGTTTCTGAGAGGCCATCGTGGCTCCCACAGCGGACGACCCTTCCACAGCGCTGCCTCAGTCGCCAGTTGCAGGATTGAAGAGCCACGGCTTAGGGTTTAGGGCTTAGTTTACTCGGAGGATCATGGAACTTAGCAGGTAAGGCTTTAAGTACCCTATTGGGGCAATAAGCAAATATAAGGTATAGTTAGCTTATTTGCGACCCTAGTCACTAAGTCCCATGATCCTTTGAGTAAGGTTTGGGGTGTTAGGGTTTAGGGTTTGGCCGTTTCAGAAGAACGCCTGAATAATCAGACTAGGGCTTGAGGGGTTTAGGGTTTAGGGGTTTAGGGTTTAGGGTTTAGGGTTAGGGTTTAGGGTTAGGGTTTTTAAGTTTAGGGTTTAGGGTTTAGGGGGGTTGCTATACTACTGTATAATTCCGTCATTAATGGACCCTGAGGAAGAGCGTAGGCAAGTATTCTAGCACCTATATGGGCAGTTTTCTAAATTTGGGTCCCTTGTTTGGGGTCCTTTTTATAAGGGTGCCGTACTATGTTGGGGACCTGAAAGGGGACCCTAACTTAGGGAACTACCCATGTGAAGTCTGCGGGTTCAGGATTCGGTTTAGGGGTTTAGGGGTTTAGGGTTTAGGGTTTAGGGTTTAGGGTTTAGGGTTTAGGGTTTAGGGTAGCTTGGATGGGCCTTGAGTGGTGGGAATCCTGAAAGTGCAAGCTTGAACCGTATACTATAGGGGCCGAAATAATTACCAAGACTCTTTTGTGGGCTCCTTATTACAATCACAGCATAATATACCCCAAAACCCTATTCTAATTATTACGGCACCTACATTACACTTGAACTCGAAACCCTGAAACCCGAAGTTCCCTCGTAGGATTAAGTCAGAAACCCTGCACAACTCCAAACACTCCTAAACTGAGCTCGCCGCTTGTAGTCGGGAAAGCGCTTCGGGACGTCCAAAAAGACGGCCAAGCGGACGGCCCTGAGTTCGATGCCCTCGCCGCCCCTCTCTGTCTCCAGGATCCTCAGCGCCACAATGCAAAAGGTTCAGGGTTTAGGATTTAGGGAATTCTTTTGGGTTCTTGAAACTCAAAAAGGTTTCGAATTATTGTTAGAGGGCCTCAAAATAATAGGGTTTTTAAGCAAGGCTTTCAAAGGGTTTACAGAGAGTGTGTAAGGTTTTGAACCGGAAGAACACAGGGGATCCATTTACTGGGCTCCCTGTCCCTTTTTGAAGTTAGGGAAGCCCAAAGCTCAAAACATACCAAGCATCCCCCAGGCTGACCCAGAATATAGAGGCCTCATTATTTTTGGATAGTTTTCTCGGGTATATTGGATCGTGCTCATAGAAAGACTCTGGGGTTTAGGGTTTGGTCTATAATATTTGCAATAAAAGGAAAGTAGTACCAATAGTACGACTACCAGTCAAAGTAGCAACATTAATGAGGCTCTTGCAATCTCTGTTCAGGGAGGAGGGCTTGTTCATGATCTCAGACTTCCGAGGTTTGGAGACGTGAAGGCCTGATACCACACAGCGAGGCTTCGTGAGTTCTGGGGCTTTGAGGCTTTAAGGTTCAGGATTTAGGGTTTTGTGGTGGCGGTAGTCGTGGTGGTGGATGGTGGTGGTGGTCGCGGTAAGTACTTGTGCTGGTGAGATCTTACATCAGACATCATGCCGTGATGCAGACATCTACAGCTTGATACACAGTGGCGGCTTGGCTCTTACCTAAACGGTGTTGGGCTGTAGGTGGCTTGAAAACCCCATGGGCATGACCCCAAAGACTTGCACAACGAAACTCATTCCTTCTCGCTAGACCTAAGCCCGCAGACCGCAAGAACCCTAAACCCTAAACCCTAAACCCAAAAAGTTAAGGTGGGTCATCCTCCATCCCCAAGCTCTACAGCTCCACCGTAGCACCCCTGACACGCTCATCCCTCATCCCTACACTCCTAAGCCTCCGACTCAGCACTCTCAACCCAAAGCCCTAAGCCCCTAGACGCTAAACCCTGCTACTGCAGCACTCTGACGAGGCTCATGACCATGAAACGTTGCCCTCTCAAGTTCTCGCGGCTGTTGAAGTCTGCCAGCTGATGGTACTCAGCCACGTTGAACTTGTGCTTCTCTGCTTCGGCCTTCTCCACAGAGATTTAGGGCCTAGGTTTAGGGGTTAGGGCTTTGGGGTTGGGGTTCAGGGCTTAGGCTTTAGGGCTTCGGGTTTAGGGCTTAGGGTTTAGGGCTTCGGGTTTAGGGGTCAGGGCTGAGGGGCTTAGGGCTTATGGTTAAGGGCTATAAGAACTATACAGGGAATCTTTAGGGTTCAGTTTCAGGGTTTAGGGTTTAGGGTTTAGGGTTTAGGGTTTAGGGTTTAGGGTTTAGGGACCCTAAACCCTAAACCCTAAACCCTAAACCGGGTTCAGGGATTCTTCAACGCAACGCGTCGGGCCTTATTGGGGTCCCTAGGGCGCTCAGAGTGAGCCGCAGATCTTTGGGCTGTTGTTCAAGCATTTCGCCCTCCTCGTCGCTAAAGCCTAAACCTAGGGTTTAGGGTTTAGGGTTTAGGGTTTAAAACCCTAAACCTAGCTGCTAGACCCTTCAGAAGAGTTTTGAGGGTCGGGTCGGAACAACAAGTCGCTAACGGCTTAGGGCTTGAAGGTTAAGTGTTAACGGATTTCGGGCTTGAGGGTTAAACCCTAAACCCTAAATCCTAAACCCTAATCCCTAAACGTTAAGGGTTAGAGGGTTCAGGATCTAGGGTTTCAGGGATCCGGTACCTTTGAGAACGCGAACTGTTGGAGTCTCTGGGAGGGACACTTGCAACGGCAAGCGTAACATAGAAGCTTACATAATTACCAATACTATTCCTTAGGGCCCTTTTTGGAATTATAGCATAAATAAACCCTAAACCCCTAAACCCAAAACCCTATGAATGAGACCAAATCAGACCAAAACCATATTCTAATTGCCCTAAACCCTAAACCCCTAAACCCCTAAACCCAAAACCCAAAACCCAAAACCCTAAACCCTACAGGGGCAACCTTCCTGGCCTGCAGCAAAGCAAGCAAGGCTCTGTAGCCGTTGCGGCGCTCCACCATGATCATGCCTTGGTTTAGGGGTTTAGGGTTTAGGGTTTAGGGGTTTAGGGTTTAGGGTTTAGGTGTTTAGGGTTTAGGGTGAGGGTTTAGCCTTGGTTTAGGGGTTTAGGGGTTTAGCCTTGGTTTAGGGTTTAGGGGTTTAGGTGTTTAGGGTTTAGTTTAGGGTTTAGGGGTTTAGGGTCTAGCCTTGGTTTAAGGCTTAGGGGTTTAGGGCTTAGCCTTGGTTTAGGGTTTAGGGGTTTAGGGATGAGGGTTTAGCATTGGTTTAGGGTAGGGGTTTAGGGATGAGGGTTTAGCCTTGGTTTAGGGTTTTAGGGGTTTAGGGTTGAGGGTTTAGCATTGGTTTAGGGGTGCAGGGGTTTAGGGGTTTAGGGTTTAGGGTTTAAACAAGTTTAAGGGTTACAGCTTTTGGTTTTACAGTTGGGGTCTGGGTAAACATTGTATACCCCAAGTCTTGCCACTGTTGCTTGTTGTGAGGCTATGAGTATTCTGGTTGTTTGAACATTGCATAATATTGGGGGCTCAATAATTACCTATACTATTCTGGGGTTCCTCATTATCATGATAGTAAAAGATACCCCAGAGCCCTATTCTAAGTATTAAGGCCCCTGCACTAGGGCTGTCAGCAGACTATGTCGAAGTCACGGCCCTGAACTCGACGAGCCGACTTTGGGGATTGGTGGCTCTTTTTGGGAGTTAGGATTCGGGGGACCCTTGGAGACATCGGCCCTCTCAATAAGGTCCCCTTTAAGAGAGCCAGAAGTAGGGTTCAGAAGGTTCCCCTTTAAGGGGCCTCCCGATTAAACCGAAAACAAAACCCTAACCCCTGAACCCAAAACCCCTAAACCCTGAACCCTCCCTTCAAGGAGCCCGAGCATCCTCTACTGTGACATTTAGGGTTTAGGGTTTAGGGTTTAGGGTCATTGTCCAATAATACCTAGGAGCTCTTCTGCTTCTTCTTCGCAGCGTCCACCACCGCCTTCAGCGCGGCTGTGAACTTCGGGCGGCTGCTCGGGTCTGTCAGCAGCGTCTCCTTCGTGCAGCGCTTTTTTGCACGTGGCTGCGAGGCCAGAGACTCCAATATCCATTAATTAAGGAATATACCTTAAATCATAGTAGGGAGCCTACTATTTATATAAGGTATATTCCTTAATTAAGGGATATTGGAGTCTCCGGGAAGCGTCTTCTGAGAGTAGGGTTTAGGGGGCTGAAAAGCTGAAGGGGATCGCAATGCGAGTCACTTCGCAGAGGGTAGTGGTTTAGGGATTAGGGCTTAGGGTTCAGGGTTTAGTGCGCATCATGGCTCAACAGCAAGTCAGGAGGATGGCCTATGAAAGGACTAGCTAGAAGTACAGAAGGGCGACCAGCGGCCATGAGTGTACCGACCCGAGTTCGGACTTTGTGGAAGCTGTTTGAGTTTCATCGGTTTCATCTGGTTGCAGGACTTAAGATGTTGACGCTAACAGAGTTTTACAGGGGCGGAACTTCGAATCCCCCAAAACCGAATTGGTGCTTTCTGTACCCTTGCACTGCCAGGGCTATTTAATGAATCACGTAAGGCTCCTGCATCGCGAGCCTTCCCTAAACGCAGCCCAATAATGACACAAGTCGCCCAGCAAATCATGGTACTAATGATATTAATAATGTTTCTAACACTAATATTAGAAAACAATAACAAGAACCCTAAACCCTAAACCCTGAACCCGAATCATAACAACAATGCAGCCTCTTTTATTGAGTTTTTGGTGTTCCTCTGCAGCTGTACCTGTAGTCATCAGAAGGAGCCCGAAAAAGGTAGCGTCTAGGGTTTAGGGTTTCGGGTGTTCAGACTTCAAGAAACCTTGAACCTTGAGCTCGAACCTGGGAGCCGAATATTGGGGCCTTAATCAGTGGAATAGGGCTTTGGGGCGTGCTTTAGTTAAGGGTTTAGAGTTTAGGTTTTACTGTACTGTCAATATATTGAGGAGCCCTAACAACAGTATTGGTAATTACTTCGGCTTGATGAATCTGAACTGGAGAACCTTGCACCCTTCCTTGCAGCTCGCATTTCCGGAAGAGTTGGCGAATACGTACATGTTGGTGTAGTTCGCCAGGCTGTCCTCACAGAACTCTACAGTCGGCTTCTGCTTCAATGGGCTTCGAAAAATTCGGGACCCCGCTTTGAGGTTCCTTGTAACTACTTGTAACCTAGTGCCGATTATGCAGGTTGTGAGTATTTAAGGCTTCTTGTTTATTCTCGAAACTCTCATACTGCCATGACTATGCTAAAAACCAGGTTCTGCTGGTATTGAACTATCGGTTAAACCCTAAACCCTAAACCCTAAACCGACTATTCTTGTCGCACGCTTTCAATCTGTCGGGAGATGTCGGGTGCAGAGGTGGGGTTCGGCCATGGTCAGAATCCTGCATTGTCCCTGGGTTTAGTTTTTTTTTTTTTTT